AGGCCAGAGGTCAGCCTTGGACACCATTCTTTAGGATACTGTTCACCTTATTTTTTGAGACAGTTTCTCACTTGCCTGGTGCTCACCAGGTGGGCTAGGCTGGCTGGCCAGTTAGATTTAGGGATCCTCCTGTCCCCACCTCCCCATTGCTGGGGTTACAGATGTATATCATGACACCTGATTTAATGTGGGTTCTGGGAACTGAATTCAGGTCTTCAAGCGTTTTACTTACCGAGTTATCACTCTAGCCTAGTGGACTTACTCATATTTGTGTTCTGTTACCAAAAACAGAACCCCTGTTCGCTATCAGGTTTGTTCTAGCCTGGACACTCTTTGTAGCTTGAATTAAACCAGAAGAAAATTGACAAAATATTGAATATGCAGTTTTCTCTAGTCAATTGCATACATTCATGTGTATTTTCAAATGTTAAGCACTTGTAACATTAAGTTAGTACTTTTTGCAAAAATTTTAGAAAAATAAAGGAAGTAAAAAAACGAAAAAGAAAAAAGAAAAATACGGGAAGTACAAAAACGGAGAAAAGAAAAGAATAAACATCACTCACCACCCTATTTTAGTTAGAGTCACTAGCATTTCAATTTAGTCAGTCTTCTTATAACTTTCTATAGTGAATTATATATCACTGAACATAAACTTAGGATTTGGTTATACATTTCTTGATTTTTAACCTAAAATAGTTTCCTATTATTTAAAGCTTTTCATAAATCTAAAAAAAAGATTGCATACTTAAAAAATAATTTATTGAGAATTTCATACATTCATATAAGGTGTTTTGATCAAATCCATGCCCACTCTCTCCCCTCCAGCATTCCCCCCTCTGAAGAGGTAACCCTAAAATCTTCAAAGGATTAGATACATGCTTCCAAATACTTTTGACATTTTTGACCTTAGGAACAGAGGATGTTGCTAACAGGCCCAAGGACATTTTGACTTTTAGACAAGAAACTGGCTACATTTCTTTGGGGTCTTTTTACCTTAACTGCCTAGCCAGTTCCTACCTCCTGTTATCACTCCTTTTTATGGGGCTTTTGGCTACTCTAACATTCCCCCCTCTGAAGAGGCAACCCTAAAATCTTTTGAGGATTAGATAAAAGCTCTGCATAGTCTTTTGTATTGTGGAATTCTTACTGTTGGAAATGTAAGTTGTTTTCAAGATTTTTTTTTTTGGTTATAAGTAATATTATGGAGAATATCCTTATCTAGA